TGGCCTGGCAGTACAGAGCCTATGACACATGGGTGGCCTGGCAGTACAGGGCCTATGACACACGGGCGGCCTGGCAGTAGAGGGGATATGACAAACATGCTGGCTTGGCAGTACAGGGATATGACACATGGGTGGCCTGGCAGTACAGGGCCTATGACACACGGGCGGCTTGGCAGTATAGGGATATGACACACATGCTGGCCTGGCAGAACAGGGCCTACGACACATGGGTGGCCTGGCAGTACAGGGCCTATGACACACGGGTGGCCCGGCAGTACAGGGATATGACACACATGCTGGCCTGGCAGTACAGGGACTATGACACACGGGTGGCCCAGCAGTGCAGGGCCTATGACACACAGACGACCCGGCAGTACAGGGACTATGACATACGGTTGGTCCGGCAGTATAGGGATATGACACACGGGTGTCCTAGCAGTACAGGGCCTATGACACACGGGTGGCCCGGCAGTACAGGGATATGACACACATGCTGGCCTGGCAGTACAGGGGATATGACACATGGGTGGCCTGGCAGTACAGGGACTATGACACACAGACGACCCGGCTGTACAGGGACTATGACACACGGGTGGTCCGGCAGTATGGGTATATGACACATGGGTGTCCTAGCAGTACAGGGCCTATGACACACGGGTGGCCCGGCAGTACAGGGATATGACACACATGCTGGCCTGGCAGTACAGTGACTATGACACACGGGTGGCCCGACAGTACAGGGACTATGACACACTTGCTGGCCCAGCAGTGCAGGGATATGACACACAGGTGGCCCGGCACTGCAGGGCCTATGACACACATGCTGGCCTGGCAGTACAGTGACTATGACACACGGGTGGCCCGACAGTACAGGGACTATGACACACTTGCTGGCCCAGCAGTGCAGGGATATGACACACAGGTGGCCCGGCACTGCAGGGCCTATGACACACATGCTGGCCTGGCAGTACAGTGACTATGACACACGGGTGGCCCGACAGTACAGGGACTATGACACACTTGCTGGCCCAGCAGTGCAGGGATATGACACACAGGTGGCCCGGCACTGCAGGGCCTATGACACACATGCTGGCCTGGCAGTACAGTGACTATGACACACGGGTGGCCCGACAGTACAGGGACTATGACACACTTGCTGGCCCAGCAGTGCAGGGATATGACACACAGGTGGCCCGGCACTGCAGGGCCTATGACACACATGCTGGCCTGGCAGTACAGTGACTATGACACACGGGTGGCCCGACAGTACAGGGACTATGACACACTTGCTGGCCCAGCAGTGCAGGGATATGACACACAGGTGGCCCGGCACTGCAGGGCCTATGACACACATGCTGGCCTGGCAGTACAGTGACTATGACACACGGGTGGCCCGACAGTACAGGGACTATGACACACTTGCTGGCCCAGCAGTGCAGGGATATGACACACAGGTGGCCCGGCACTGCAGGGCCTATGACACACATGCTGGCCTGGCAGTACAGTGACTATGACACACGGGTGGCCCGACAGTACAGGGACTATGACACACTTGCTGGCCCAGCAGTGCAGGGATATGACACACAGGTGGCCCGGCACTGCAGGGCCTATGACACACATGCTGGCCTGGCAGTACAGTGACTATGACACACGGGTGGCCCGACAGTACAGGGACTATGACACACTTGCTGGCCCAGCAGTGCAGGGATATGACACACAGGTGGCCCGGCACTGCAGGGCCTATGACACACATGCTGGCCTGGCAGTACAGTGACTATGACACACGGGTGGCCCGACAGTACAGGGACTATGACACACTTGCTGGCCCAGCAGTGCAGGGATATGACACACAGGTGGCCCGGCACTGCAGGGCCTATGACACACATGCTGGCCTGGCAGTACAGTGACTATGACACACGGGTGGCCCGACAGTACAGGGACTATGACACACTTGCTGGCCCAGCAGTGCAGGGATATGACACACAGGTGGCCCGGCACTGCAGGGCCTATGACACACATGCTGGCCTGGCAGTGCAGGGACTATGAAACACATGCTGGCCTAACAGTACAGGGATATGACGCATGGGTGGCCCCGCAGTACAAGGACTATGACACACATGCTGGCCCCGCAGTACAGTACACATGCTGAGCTATTATCTGTGGTTTGTAACCTATCCTTTAAATCGGCTTCCGTACCTAATGACTGGAAGGTAGCCAACGTGACACCAATATTTAAAAAGGGCTCTAGAGGCGATCCTGGCAATTACAGACCGGTAAGTCTAACTTTAGTACCGGGCAAATTAGTCGAAACAATAGTAAAGAATAAAATTGTGAAGCATGTAGAAGAACATAATTTGTTGGACAAAAGTCAACATGGTTTCTGTAAAGGGAAATCATGTCTTACTAATCTATTAGAGTTCTTTGAAGGAGTTAACAAACATGCGGAAAAGGGGGATCCAGTAAATATAGTATACTTAGATTTTCAGAAAGCCTTTGACAAGGTCCCTCACCAAAGGCTCTTGTGTAAATTACATGGCCATGGGATAAGAGGGAAGGTCCGTTCATGGATTGAGAACTGGTTAAAAGATAGGAAACAAAGGGTAGGAATAAATGGTAAATTTTCAGATTGGAGAGGGGTAACTAGTGGTGTCCC